GCATGTACCTCGACCTGTACAAACGTCAATGCGCGCCTCAGTGTCGTCCCGACGCAGAAGAGAGAGGCGAAAGTTTCGAGCGAGACGCACGGGTCAATATTCGTTGCCTTTTAGTTGACCGATCCACCGCCGACGTCGCTAGCGTCCGGCTCCGCCATTACCCTAATTGCGCATGCACATATCTCTTCTCTATTTTATTAGCATTAATCTGTTTAAAATTGCACATCTGCGACATGGCCGCCGTCATTTGCCCAAATTGCACACTTCACCCCGTGCCATCTCCGACAATCAGGAGTCGGCCGTGGCGCGTCAACCGCCGACCATTTTTCACGCTCTTTATTGAATATGAATAATGACTACAAATGTCATTTTTCAGGACGGCCATTAGCGCCGCGGCAGGTGGGAGCGGGTATTTTTCTTGTCGGATTATCGGAAAATGATTAAACACTCGGAGGGTAACCGATCCGGCAAAGACAATGCCCGGAAACCGCCCCTCTCTGCCCCCCCGCGCGCCGCAAATAAAATGTAATCGAAGTGGAACCGGCTGAAAGGGTGGGTGAGCCTCATTACCGGAGCGCTAATGCCGATGGGGCGGCCGGAGGACACGGCGAACGGGGGCCACGGATATGGATTGCGCCGGAATTGATTTGACACGGCGAGGGATTGGATTGCGATAAGTCGGAGATAATGGCAAATGCACCGAGTTAAGTCGGACAATTAGCGGGAGCTGGGATCATCCGGAGAGCGGCTAAGAGCGATATGGGAAATCCTAGCCTGCGCAGAACCATGCGCTATAGCCCACTCCGATTACACGGGTTACTGCTTTCGGCGTTCACGAGTCACTTAATTACCGCTGTCGCAAACCGACGTTTTGTTGTTTCATGCAAACGAAAAAACCCTAATAAACGTAAAATCCCGATTTGAAAATACAACAGCGATTTTCCACAAGATCGCTCCGAAATCTTGTAAACACAACTCGCCTACCCGTATTCCAAATTAAGAGTCGTTTGTTTTTCTTTTCTTGTTCGCAAATCCGCGACCTTGAACCTGCCCACACCCGACCTGCTCGTCTGCGAAATTTTCCACAATTTTCTTTGCCCCCGACTTTCCACCGTTTGAAAAAAATATGAGAAACCGGGGCACAGTCGGCCCTCCGAAATGTAAATAATTCCTGTCTGCGCGCAAAAAGCTAATTACTTAGCGAAAATTCCGGGCAACTTTATTTTTGTTCTCGATCGAATTTTTTTTCGCGTGCAGACGGAGGTGTGGCGGCGAGATCGTCATAAACTCAATTCGGTATGCACTTCGGTAAACAGCGAATTATCCTAGTTCGATTCGAGTTCGTTCGTGTATGTGTATTTTTATCTGGAACTATGTAGAGGTATTTCGGTTTTGTAATAAACTATTCATGCAGTTACGATTCGTGCAGTAATGCGACTATTGTACGGATTATTTCGCATAAAATTGACCGCATTGCTCTGATTAAAGGTTTTTGTTGGGGGTGGGGCGGGGAGCGGTTGTACAACGATTCGGATTTATTACAAACATTGTGTGTATTTAATAAACCGGTGCACCGCGTTTCTATAGTAGCTTGAATAATAGTTCGTTTGATATTAAACTTTCAGTTGAACTCCAAAGTGAAGTAAACTGAAAACAACACCCGAGTGTGGAATACAGTTTTGTAAAAGACTTGAGATTACTGATATTTTAAGCTGCATTTAAAGCAGTTTGTTTAAAAATTTATCCAAAATGGACTGTATATTTTAGTAGCTTAATGTTGCATTTGGGCTTGAAATAAAAATGTGAATATTACGAACCTTAGTAAATACCAGTAATTTACAGTATATCTAATAGGTAACTGCATTTTATTATCACAGGAAACTGTAAAAAGTTTAAAAATTATAACTTAATCTGTAAAACACAAACTTTATTAAATGTTTTTTTTTTTTTGAAAATACAATAATATCGTATGATAAGAAGGTAGGGTTTGTCGAGTTATTTATTCTTTGACTGTTATTTGGTTATTTCAAAATATAACAGTTTAAAATTTTAGAATTTGCTCTAATTTTTTACTTCCCGAGCGTAAGCGGGTGACTGGCTACTTTCGTTTTCTCCAAGTTTCATGACCCCTGAAACACGAAAAAATTGGTCTACCGTTACCGTCTGTATATCTGATGTCTGTCGATTTCTATTGGAACTACCGGACCGGTTATTATCAAATTTTATATGCATTTCAGAATTATCGGGAAGAAACGCTAACCAAAATTTGTCCAATCAATAATTTGATGACCTGTCCTCAAAATTTTGTACATTAAATATTATTAAATTTTATAAAATAATTTACTCAGATACTTGCGGTGAATCCGCCTTGATTTTTAATGACAATTACATATTGCATAACTGTTTCTGCAAAATTTGCAGCATGTGCAAAATCCTCAAATTCTCAAAACACTAAAATCCTCAAATCCTCAAAACAACAAAATCCTCAAATCCTCAAGACAACAAAATACCGAAAAACCCAGAACCCTCAAATCATTAAATCCTTAAAACAGCAAACTCCTCAAACCCTCAAAACACCAAAATAGTCAAATCCTGTAATTCTCAAAATCCTCAAATCCTCAAATCCTTAGAACACCAAAACCCTCAAATCATCAATTTCTGTTAAAACACCAAAATCGACAAACCCTCAAAACACCAAAATCCTCAAATTCTTGTCGATTTTTTTTGTATTTATAAAAGTTATCACAAAAAAATGAAAATTTACAAAATTACATACAGCTGCAGTTGTGTTTTATGATCCGTGTTGAGTTTTACCTTTGACATCCAGATGTTTGAAAAAAAAAAATCAAAATTAAGTAACATTTTGCAATATAACGTTGAAGCTGTAAAACCGATTGATATGGTTTGAAAAAAAATCTAAATTAACTAACATTTTGCAATTTAATTTTACAACTGTAAAACCGATTGTTCTGAAATCTTGCAAACGTTTTAAGGTCATCTGAACATGATAAATCGTTCATTAAAATGTATACATTTAGTCCCTCCTAAAAAATTGATGACGTGTTCTCAAAATTTTGTCGAATGAATCCTGTCTAAAATATGCAAAATATTATTCATCTATACTTGTGGTTGAAACTATATGCAAATCTTTTTGATCCGAGTGAACAACTAACCCTTGGCTCTCAGATAGTTTGCGTGCAACCAACAGTCTTGAGAGATTAGGCGTGCATATTTTTTTGACCGTGGCGCGCAACTGACCCATACCCCTGAATTGTACGCTACAATAAAAGTTATAATTATTAACTATACTAGAATTGTTTTTATCTTGGCAACGTAACGATCACATAATTTGCACTTTTTAAGTTTCACATTTTTAATTTAAAATCCAATAAAAAACTGTAGCAGTTGATGAAAAATTACTTAGTAATATCTACAGCAAAACTGTATGCAAAATGAGGGTAAAATAAACAAAATAACCTTCATTTATCTACCATTAAAGGATTTAAGAAGCCTGTACTATTCGTTCCGAGCCAATTATCGGATTAAGATTAGACCCGCCGAGATGTCGTAAATCATCCCGAGTCTGTATACTTAGTTGCCTGATTCTAACAAAATCTTGCAATTTATTCTCTCATTTTTTGTTATAACTTAAAACGTTATAATTGTAAGGGCAAATAAAAAATTCAGGTCAATGCGCCATAAAATCCTCTACAATCCGAGTTCTCGTATTTATATGTTGTATGTTTTTTAAGAAAAAAATCTAAAAACCATTCTATGTGAAGAGTATATATAGACATCGTCTGCTCCTTCAAATGTTGATATGAAACTACAACGGAACATAGTCTCGATAGGTAAGGTCCTGCCTTGAAATGTTGAGGGGATATCAGTATTAGACACGAAAATAAATAAAAATGTACTGTCAGATTTGGTAATCCCACCTGCAGCCGACCCTTTCCTCCCATTCAAACCTGCATCACACATCCGACGTGTTCGGCCATGTTGGCCCTAAATTAGGGTCGTTTCGCTGGAGGGGCGGCGGTTCGGGAAAGAGTAGAGAAAAGAAAGAAAAAATGAAATTCTTATCGTCTACAAGTTCCGTTATTGAGAACGTCGTTTGCATACAATCGATGAGTGACGACGTGTGCTTTAAGGATTACCGTTAGCGTCAGAAAAACTGACGAGGGTGTGAAACTTCTACAAAGTGGTTTACTCTACGGCGCACACGATACATCATAACGAATTTGCACATTTACAACGTTCAGACAGTGTCTCTAAATGCGAGGCGAAGACAGGTCAATCGAGGGCGAAGATGCGGCCCGACGTTCCGATGAAGCGCGTGTTCTATTAATGGATTGCCCAAAAAATACCCACTTTTTACTCACGTGTCTGCCCGGAGTTAATCGTCGTTCGTTTCCGGGCACATGGCCGCCGCCGCCAGCGTCAGCGTACTCTGATGGCGTATTTCGTCCCCAATCACTGCTAATGCACCACTAAGTGGCAATAAAGTTTACAAGCGCGTCGCAGAGCCCAGACATTAGTATTCATCGACCGTATTAAGACCGAACTACTGACCGCCCTTTTATCGTGAATTAAACTAACTGCCTTACATAATGCCTCGCCTGATTCGCAGCTTCCGCCCATCAACTCGGAAAAAAATACACGCGTACCGTAAATTCATGATTTTCGAGCCGACCAACTTTCTCCAAGACGAAAACGACAAATTTTCACAGGACTAGGTACATGTAAGATTCAAATTGGCTGTGATGCAACATTTTTGCTGCATACTAGCGAATTTTCTCCACGACGAAAGTGCACAAACTTTGACAGTAACTTCTAGGATTCAAAATTGATTTGTTTTATATCACTTGAAAAATCAAAAAAAAAAAATAGTTTGATACCGATCACCGGTGGGAGGGTGAAAGGACTATCTGAATCCAACTCGAGTAGATGCCAACATAGTTGGCGAAGCAAGTGAAAATGTGTTTTTCTTGTGCACTCACCTCCTTGCGAGAGGAACTGCGACTCCTGTGTGCCCTGGCCGTCGCCCACGGGCAGCGAGTAGTCGGCCCTCCGTCGCAGGGTGGCCGAGTGCAGGGAGGGTCCCCTCGGGGGCACTTCCGGCGGGGCCGGCTCTGGCGGCGACTCCTCGTTCACGTCTGAAATGTGAAATGTGCTCAAATCTGAAATTATAATCAGGAAATTATTTGTAAATAATGAGAAACCTATTCGAAGGCGTGTTTTACCCGAACGAGTAAACTGATGAATTTTCATGAAAATTACGGGAGGATGCAAATCGCGCTAATAACATGCAAATTTATACGAAATTATTACAAATTAAATAGATTTGCCGAGGGACGGGCGGATGATACCGCGCGGATGAGATTTCGAGGATGATGGGCTTTAGCAATCTGGAAGATAATTTTTAAGGTGATTTTTCGGCACGGGCTTACTGAACGTGTCTAATTCTATCATCGCTCCGCACTTGTAACACAAATATAAATTGCCTGGAACAGCTGTACATATTAGATTATAGATGGCTGGGAGGTTATCTGTGTTTGTGTTAATAACGTCGCAAAAAGTGATAAGGGAGGTCCGGTTAAAACGGTGATTTTACACACAAGAACGCAACGATCAATAATTAAGTACCTACTTAATTAATGAATTAACTTTATTTCCAATCGCGAACGGTATTAATGCAATTATAGCACAATAGTGACATTACTATGGGTTATCAAGTTTATTGTTTCGTGGAGTTACTTTCAACTAAATTAATTTAACAGCCTATTTGTAATTAGGATTTGATTGCTCTTAAACCTCTGTAATTACAACAAAATTGGTGTAATTACGCAGCCATCTAAACCCTGTAGAATTTGGAATAATTACCCTCAGTTCTCGAGGTTTATCAACCGCCCCTTAAAAATCTCAACCTTGTTCTTCCGACACTCTTGCTGCTTAGTTGTAGACATAAACACCCTAGAGCGCGCTATCCTGGTCACGGCACCAAATGCCCCCTCCCAAAACGTCGCTATAACTTTACCGGCCGCAAACTTTTACTTGTGCTAAGATTTTCTTTCTCCCAACCTCTTCCATCTGTCCGAATTCCTCGCACCGCCCGTTCCGCATCCATCACTCCTTCGTATTATCCGAACTCCTGTGCGATCTCCACTCATTAATTCTCCTCGTCATTGTTAATATCGATCACGAATTTCCGGCGTGTTTGTTAAGCTTTGACTTTGTGAAACAACATTTACAAAACCGGCGGCGCGCTTTTTTTTATTAAGACAACAACGCAACAAAAGCCGAAATGTCATTAATCATCCGCGTTACGAGCCAGAACTAGACCCTATTTTCTTTCATGACAATAACTAATTACGCGAACATTTCCTGGCGATCAATTAAAAATCGGCCTCGATTAATTCCGACCTTTTTTCCCGCTTTTGACGTGATGCTTCCGGTAATTCCTGTTCTGACGCGGTGGTAGCTAATAATTAACTAATCGAGTTAGCCGATGGTGGATACGTGTAGTGGCGCCACCTATCCGACTCTAAGCTAATTACAAGTCGTCACTCATTACCTTAACTTCGTTCGAGAGGTAATTAGATTTGTTCGGTTGCGACTTGGAGAGACAGCACGCTGGGGCTCGCTTCCAAGTCGAAAAAATTTAGAACTTAGCAGACAACGAACGGCTAGGTACGACGTCAAAAACAAAAAACGCTACTAACACCTTCGCGACGTAAAACTCGTCCCCACCTCTCGAAAACAAAGGAGCCTCTATTTGCCCATTTCCACTTAACGAGTCCGGACAATGCGGTTTCCGCGTGAAATTTTCGAAAAATACGGCTTCCATATATCCCATTAACGCTGCGGCAGCTATGGAACTTTACGGCCAACTTTATAATTAGATCGGCAAATCCGATAGCCGCAGTCCGGCTGAAGCTGAAATCCCTTCAGCTGAGTGTACATCCGACGGTCCACTCGCCTGTCATTGTAAACAGCATCAGTCGGCTTTAATTACTGCGAGCTTTTTGATGGAATAAAACTCATTAACGTTTAATTGCGACTCTAAATAGTTTCCGCGCTCTCCAGAAACTCCAAAAATCGAACGACCAACAACTAAAACCGTCTACCGTTATTGAGACAGATCCGCTGCTGCTGCTCGTGATAGCCGATATCGGTGCTCCCAGACGGTGGTATCCGGCCGTCGTTGCAGCTGTTGCAGGAAGTGGCGCTGCTGGATGAAGTCATGCCGCTGGTCCTGTGCCGTCCCCGCCCGGTACGCCCGAGAGTGCTGTTCGAGAGGTTCTTTTTGTTGCTGGCGTAGATGACTTCGCCTGAAATCGAAACAAAACAGCGATGAGATCGTAAATTGGGGCCGCGGAAGATCACCATTGTTGCCGCGTAGGCGATCCTGCGGGGTCGCGTAGTGGATTCTTCTAGTGTTCGTGTTCTCCATGGGAAATGGCGACGCTTGGCGGTGCAAGGGAATCGGCGAGCGGGGCGACACCAGAGTGGGTGGCGGGGTCGGGAAAGGGGTGGTCGGGTTGTCCGTGGTGACGGCGTCCTCGGTGTCGTCCGAGCGGTACGACCGATCCACACCTGCAAAGGACGCAAGCGTCAGTAAAATTGCGCCAAGAATCCAGGATGACCTTTGTTTCAGAGGGTCACTTAATTTTTAGGCACCCGCTTGCCTTGCAAGTATCCTGACCACTAGACCACGAAGCCGCTTATCTTTCTCCGCTTACTAATGTTATTGTGCCGCCACAGAACAAATCTGACAAGCAAACCCCTGCAGTTTCAGAAAGATGCACTGAAACTACCCGGCGGTATTCCTCCACTTTACGTAACTTCCCTGGATTGGACCTACGTGATTTGTGTGACCTTCAGTGGCTTCACTTTGGTCTTTTGTCAAGAGACTTGTCCGGTCAGGTCAGGATGAATTAGGTCTAATCAGGTCGGATCAAGGGATGGAATGACTTAACCTAGCTTAGTTTGATCTACGGCAGAAACAAATAGGCTCCACTTTACGTACATAACTTCAGTTGATCTAGCCTAGCGTGGTCTGGCCTGAGCTAACGTGGCTTGAATTGGTTCTTTTGTCCAGAAGCCTGCTGAGTTCAATTCAGGACAACTCAGTAGTATGTAAAAGCATATGTTCTAACTCACATTCAAAAAACAATGCAAATTATTCAATTTTCACCCCGATTTCAAGTTTTTTAACGTAAAAAACCATAAATTCAATGAAATATTGCATAAATTTTACACTTTTTTTATGTTGTAATTTTTTTTCCCAAAAAAAATATTATGGAATTTACACCAGTTTTCAAGACAGTTATGAAAAAGTTTATTTCCAACTTGTTTTTTTCAACTCATATATATGATTCTGAGATAAAAGTCAGTTTATTACCAACTAAATGGATTATTGTAAATTATGTAAAACAAAAACTAAATCTACAGGAGAACCAAAATTTGATAAAAAAAGAAAACTGTGGCGAAGAATATCAACCTGCAGAATTTGTAAATCAGTGAAAAATAATATTTCCAAATCACCTGAGGAAATTGAAATTTTAGAATTATTCAAACCTTTTAGAAAAAGATTTAGTACACGACATTTTATTCAGAAAGGAATAGATGATACTTTTCAAGCTGATTTATATTCCTTTTACAGGCCAAAGGGAAAATTAGAAGATCATGCATATAATTTAAGAACTCAACATAAATCATTTGATAACGATTATAAAAAATTATTAAGGCAAAATAATAATTATAAATATATTTTAGTTGTTATTGATACTTTTTCGAAATATGTTTGGGCAGTTCCACTAAAAACAAAAACCGGATTAGAAGTGGCAGATGGTTTTAAAACTATATTTGAAAAATCAAAAAGATTTCCAAAAAAATTACATGTTGATAAAGGAAAGGAATTCTATAACAAAGACGTAAAACAATTATTAAATAAAAACAGTATTCAAATATATAGTACCGGTACTGAAAATAAAGCATCAATTATTGAACGATTTAATCGAACTCTTGGAAACAAATTGAAAATTATTATTTATCAAAACAAACCATGGATAACTGAATTACCTAAAATAATTAAAAAGTATAACAATAGTTATCATAGAACAATTAAAATGAAGCCAACTGATGTAAATAAAAATAATGAAAAAAATTTACTAAGTACTGTATACAATTATAAAACTACTACTAAAAAACCAAAATTTGAAATTGGCGACAGAGTTAGATTATCTATGCTTGTTGATACGTTTCGCAATAAATTAAAAACTAATTGGACAAAAGAAATATATAAGATTCATGATGTTTTTATAGGAGATCAAATTTGGTATAAGGTTGAGACATCTGATTCCAACGAACAAATTAAAGAAGGAATTTATGAAGAAGAACTTCAATTATCTTTATTGTAGTATCCATAAGGTACAGTATTTATTTTATCTATGAGATATCTTTTATCATCATATGGAGATAGAGCTATTTTATTTGTTTTAACTGTATATAATTTTAACCCATTTGAAATAATATTATATACCTCTTCGTATGTTTCTTTTGTATTAAGTAAACAGTCTTTATACATTTCAAATCTCATTTTCTCAATATTTTGCCGTTTAATTCCTTTACATACTTTCTTTTCTTTCATTTCTGTTATGAATGATTTATTTTCTTTATTATATTTTGTTTGCATTTCATCATATTTGAAAGCATACATTTTTGATCTTAATCCTACATACTCTCGTAACGGTATTCCTAAAAACTCATCTTTAAACAATCCGGGAACCTTTTTATTTTGTTTTGGCATCCAATCCATTTTATAGTCTGAAGTATCAAACCAGTTAATATCATTTTCTATATCTTTATATATATCATCGGTTTCAATATGAACAAGAAATGAATCAGTATCAGTCATTAATAACTTAATTTTGTCTCCATATTTTGATTTTAAAAAGTTATACCAAAATTTATACATAATTAACTTTGATAATTCCAATACAACAAATCCACCAAATATAGGTTTATTTAACTTTACTGTTGCTTGTTTTTTGTATACTAATACATTTTCATCGTCTATGATATCTCTGTGGGTAAAAACCTTACAACGTTCAAATTCCTCATATCTATTAATATAAATTTGATATATATAAAAACAGTATGTTCGTGATTAATTCACCTGTTTTGTTTTCACTTGAAGAAAATACAAGACAATTATTAGAATTTGATGATGATGATGATGATTTTCTGAATTCTATGGGACCAAAGTACTCGCGTATTTTAGAAACGATTGAAAAAGAACTTCAAATATCTAGTACTTCTCTAGATGATTTAGGTAATAAGGTAAACACCGACAAAACATTTGTCAACATTACTAGACATAGTGAAAGCAAGTTCAAATTAGACTTAAAAAATAAAACTATTTATTCACCACTACGATTTAAATTTGATGAGCATACATGTAAATATTTAGGTTTTAAAAACGAGTATATGGAAGAAAATATAAATCACAAATTTGAAATTAAAAAGACGTGGATAGACATTTTCACTGGTAATTATAATTTAAAAGAATTAAATAATGTTATAGCAAAAAAAATTAAAGAACGAAAATATGATTTCAAGTTTCAGATATATGTTAATACTGATTTTAAAATATTTATTCAGTCAGATATACCTTTTAAACTTGATAAACATTTATGTATGTTATTAGGGTTCAAATACTCTGGTAACTTTTTTAGAGAAAAAACTGAATTTGCTACTAAGAGAAATTTGTTAGGTAAAAACATTTATCATATACAATGTAACATTGCTGGTAAAAGCTTTGAATCGCATGATAATAGGCATAGACACGTAGAAGAAAATTTATTACAAGTCTTTCAAAATGAACTATCGGGTGAAAATTTATTCCAGTCAAATAATTTGTTATACGTTACTGTTGATACAAGTTTAAATAAAATTCAAGAAATAAAAGTTTTCGTTACTGACATGTATGGGGAAGAAGCGTACGAAATATATGATGTTACTGCTTATTTGCATATTGTCTCTTCTAGTTTGTAATTTTTTAATTTATTAAATGAATTCATATTGTGTCAAATGTAAAAGAAAAACGGGTAATATTAATCCGCGCGTTGTTCTTACAAAAAATAATAAGAAACGAATGGTTTCGAAATGTCAAGAATGTGGAACGACAAAAAGTCAATTTATTAAGAATTAGGTATATACCAAAATCAACAAAATTTTAAGAATGTTTCCTTATGAGGTAATTTTATTAATAAAGTAACAGTAATTTTTCTTAAATTCGGGCAAAGTGGACTACATCCACGAATTTAAAATTCTTCATCTTCCGTCAGATTAAAATTAATTTCTTCACCATGGGTATGATATTTTACACCATCAGCACTCAACGTGTTAACAATTTATTCGGTTTCTAATATCGTATACTCATTATTGTTTTTTTTTTCTATAAATATATTAAATTTAATTTCCTTCTGATTAGATAACATTTTAAAATTTTCTGAATCTACCTCGATTTCTGTTATGGGTTCTTCATTTGGCATCATATGAGTTGAAAAAACAAGTTGGAAATAAACTTTTTCATAACTATCTTGAGAACTGGTGTAAATTCCATAATATTTTTTTTGGGAAAAAAAATTACAACATAAAAAAAGTGTAAAATTTATGCAATATTTCATTGAATTTATGGTTTTTTACGTTAAAAAACTTGAAATCGGGGTGAAAATTGAATAATTTGCATTGTTTTTTGAATGTGAGTTAGAACATATGCTTTTACATACTACTCAACTCAGGTCAGACAAAGTCAGGTCTGGTCAGGTGAGGACAGTTCAAATCAGGTCAGGTTGGATTGGATCAGGTCGGTCAGGTCAAACAAAATCAAGTCAGACATGGTTAGCTCAGACATTGATCCACTTGGCCGGTCGTTTGAACTGTTTGTTTTATCAAGAAATTTCACAGGTAAGGTTAGATTATCTCAGTATAGATCAGAAGCAGTCAGTTCAGGCAAAGTCAGGTCAAAAGATGAAGTACCTTGACCTAGTCTAGTCTGATCTGTAAATTTGGTGGCGCTTATTGTAATAAACACGGTAAGTAATGATAGTATAACCTAAAAATGTTTAAGTGTATTTAAGTAATTTGTGGATGTAGTCTTGCACAACGTGGGGCAATGCACGTCGGTGTTATTTGTGTGTCGTTACGGTCGATTCTTTTTCGTCGTTTGTCTGTCCATTGTGTGGAGACATCTTCCCCCACCACGGCCCTGATGAACTTTGTCGTTTAAAACCTTCTCCGAAGCCATCGCAAGCATAATTTCTGTAGTAAGTGGAGCGGAACGCAATTGGCGTTACGGTCTCGAAGACTCGGAAGTATTTAAAATAAAAATTACATCCGATGTGAGTGAATAATTTGAGTAGGATGGGCCGAAAAGGGGAGACCGACGAAACAAAAGAGAACGACGTTCTAAAACCGACAAGGAATTAAATTACCCGTCTTATATTTCTCGTTTTATTTAACGTATCATTTATAAAAAATGTAATTTAATAGAATCTGCCCCCAACGTTACCTTGTTACGGAAGAGCATT